TTCTAAAGAGGGGTTGGTGGTTGGGTGAATGGGTGAAATGTGAGCACATTTTAAACCTCGTTGGATTTAAAACTTGGTAAATTTTAAGATTTTTTTTTTTGCTCTCAAACCCACTTGGTTACGATTACACAGTTCCTCCCTCCCCTCCTACCTGGACTTTAAAAGACCAGATTGTCAAAATTAAAATTCTAGACCATTACCGCAAAGGGATAGATATTTGTACATGTATGCATTTTCTCATGGTAGGCGCGCTTCAGTCCATTCCCAACACTTCCTCGGCTTAAAGACACTGCTTATACGAGAAAGAGAACCGGAACTAAACACTGCCCACCCCGCACGGCCTCACAATTGTGTTTGAGACCATAGCTCCAGCCAGGGTCAATTCTACCTAGTTTGAGTCTTCCTCGTTTTCAACGACCCTCTTTTTTTCCCAGGGACTGGTTTTCCTGACAACATGGCCAAAACACCTGAAAGCAAGTCTCCCATCTTTCTAAGGAGCCTTCTGGCTGTCCTTGACTTCCATCCAGTCGATTCTGACTCATTGTGACCATATAGGGCAGAGCAACCGCCCCTTTGGCTTTCCGAGGCTTTCAGCGTTGCCGTTGTCGACCTCATCTTGCCCGCCCTTCAAAGAATGCTGGCGGATTCCCCGCGCTGGCGTTGTGATTAGCAAACGGCTCCATTTGTAACTCACTGATTTATTTTCTGATTATGTCGATAACCCAGAAAACGGAGCCCCGTTCCTGAGCCTAAGACTGCCAACCCTTCCAGAAGGGTAATGCCGGTGTCAGAGTTCGAGGAGAGAGGAAACCCGAATGACCCCTGCCCCACAGTCCTGGGACACAGCTGTTTCAGCGGGAAGGCAACGCTGTGGTAGGTGCCCTAGCAGCGTCTGCCACAGGTCACCGTGAGCCAGCCCCTCTGCTGCCCAGCTCCAAGACGGAAACGCAAACAACCTGGTCTACAAGCCAGGTTGATAAGCGCCCAAGCTTGGTGCCCGGTGCTCAAAAACCCAGTCCTGGCTGCAGATCTGGTGCGCTCTAGAGCCTTCTGGGTTCCAAAGACCGCTGGGGTCTGCGGGAAGGAGGTGTGAATCCGCAGAACCCTGGGAGAGGCTGGGGGATGTGGGTTGTTGCTGATAGTACCCTACACAACTGTCCGGTGGGCTCGGGGGTCTAAGGGTTTTTGCCCCCCGCAGCCCCAGGGGCAGATCCTGCGTCAACTCCTGAGCATCCGCAGCCCCTGACAGCCTCAAGGGAAAGGAACGGAGACCAGCACCGTCCTCCTCCCCGTCGCCAGCGCCCCCTTCCTCCCCCACTCGCCACGCCCCGTGCGCTGCCACGTGATGTGACCCACTCGACAGCCTATGGGCGTCAGCCCCGCCCCCCGCCCCCGCCTTGCCCCTGCTCCACGAGCCTCCACGTGATGAGGCTCCCGGCCAACCAATGAGCGCCAGCCTTGCCTTGCGCCCCGCCCCGCGCGCCGTGGCTGTTTGAAGTGACTAATTTCTGTCATATGACTGAGGCGCTCATGGGGGTGGCGGGCAGGCTGTAGGAGCGGGGGCCCAGCAGACGCCCTGCGGAGCGACCCCGGCTTGGCGGTGGCCAGCATGGCTCCCACACTCTTCCAGAAGCTCTTCAGCAAGCGAAGCGGCCTGGGCGCGCCCGGCCGCGACGCCCGCG